ATTATTATTATTATTATTATTATTATTATTATTATTATTATTATTATCTAGGATTAAAACCAAAACTGCACTGGCGCGCAGCTGCTCTACAGTTGCAGTCACATTGTCCATGTTTATGAATCTGTACGAGTTGAGTAATTTTCACATCCTAGCTTTTACTGTCTCCATCACTCCACTCCCACCTTGTCCTCTCATTACTTAACTAAGAAAAAGTGTGTTGCCTCCCTTTTCTTGTCTCCTCTGTCACAGAACAGTCTTTCAAATGACTGACTCCACCAATGTGGACACAAGTTGCCATATGGGAGATTTAATTAGTGTCCGCCACAAGCTCAATCAGCTCCCTCACAGAACCAGGGAAGAACACGGCAACTTCTGCTTCCCTGTAATACTACCATAGTCTTAATTAAAGCAGTGGCAGCTCACTCCTTAAGACCTTAGCTTTTAAACCAAAATAACCTATCTTATAGCCAATAAAGAAAGGAAATAAAATTTAAACCAATCTCCTCCAATCTACTGAGTCTTGGAGGAAATTACAGCCTGGTTAGTGGAGTTCTATCTTTAGAGCAAATGTGTGATTACAAGTGTTGGTCTTTCATTAGAGACCTGTGACTTTACTCTGTTAGCTAGCCCATAATATGCATAAAGTTAGCAAAAGCTTGTTTTCAAAGCCTCACATCGATTTAGATCACTACAGTTAGTCGTTACACCTCTGGCAGGGAAAGTTAATATTATTGATCTTTTTGTTTCATTACAATGTCCTGCTGGGAATTCATTAGTGCTAGACCGCACGTGAACACACGGTATTAATCGTTACATACAGCACAATTTAGTTTGAATCAGATTTTAGGTTAGTTTAGTTCAAAATGTTTTTTTTTTGTTTAAAACCTATTTCAACAAATGCTAATTTTAAAATCTGTTCAAGTTCACCTTGTAAAAAAAGACCAAATATCCTTAAAAGTAGAATTAAGTGCATGCATGTTTACAACGTTTTTATATTTGAAACAATAATGTGATTTGTTGCAGCTACAAGCATGTGATCAAATATTTAGCTTTGTCTTGGTGTGTAGCCTGTGTCCAGCAGTACACTTTCTACAGCTCAATAAAAATAACAAAATTAAAATCCTGTGTGTAATTATGATACAGTGTTGAATTTCTGTGTATTAAAGTTCCATATTCTATGGTGAATTATGTCTAACAAATTTCAAATGATCTTGCGCATCAGATCTAAAGGACAGCATGTTTTATTCTAAACTTGTACTAGTATAAATTTGATTGTTTCTGAAAATACTTGACAAGTATTTGCATACTAAATTTTAGCAGTTTTCTTCCCAACCTATGTAGAGTCTAAAGTGTCTCCAATCTTGTCTTGTTTGAGGACAGGAGCAGCTATTTCTACTGGATTTCATGCTAATCTATTTCAGTTTAATCCAAAAGTTAAGTCAGGTCATCTGGACAGTTTTTTTTATTTATTTTTTTGTTGAGATGTTTCGTCCTTCATCTAAAGGACTTCATCAGTCTGAGGAGCCACAACAAACTGAGTTCCACAAGCAGCACACTCACATAGTGAGCCAACCAGTTTGCTGGTGATTAGGTGGTTTCTGAAGCCCGCCCTCCACCGTCGACTCCTCTGAGGCAGCCATAGCCAAAGTGGTTCAAATCATCAAAGTTCTTGCTCAATAATCCAGGACAAATGATGTTTTAAACCATTTTGGCTATGGCTGCCATGTGTTGATGCCACAAAGGAACACGACAGATCCCATTTTCATGTTGTGATGGATCAAAACTGTCAACTCAAGGAAAACCTGCACATTATTTGTCTAATATTTTAATTTTAAAGCTGTAAATAAATGGGCATGTTCTCGATTAAAACATTAATAGCAGTCAGTCATGCCTTGCTTTACGCTCGTCACTGTTTTTTACAAGAGCGACTATTTGGATTGCTTTTGGACAAGAAAATAAGTTACAAATTGTCTCTTTTTGCTTTCTGATGTTTGGTCAGTTTTTCAGGTGTATTTTTCTTTTCCGTTCTCATTTCTTTGGGTTTTTTTTCTAACCGATTGGCAAATATTGCCTTAAATGAATGCATTTGACAAATTCACAAATGTTTTAAGCAGAAACAACTTGATGGTGGTTATAGGAGCTATCTCTTTGATGCAAAAGGGTTTTTAGTTTTATTTGACTCTGTTGGATGAAACTTTGCTCAATTTACACTCATTCTATATCAATTATATTTGCTTTTTAATACAATACAAAAAAGATAAAGTAATAAAAATGTGAGAAACATATATCTGTATTTAGTTCCTGCATATCATTATGCATTCATCATTGACCCTAGTGTTTTTTGGCTTTGCAACAGCCTTTGTACACATGGCAGGCTATTGATTTTCAGCCTCCAGGGACTGAATGCATGCAGACAGAACATGAGCCTGCCAGATGAAGAAAATTCCGGAGTAAGAGTATTCATGGGTTGGTTATTGGCTGCTTATGGCCTTCCTTTGTCCTTTTCAAGACATTATCGGCATGAGTCAAACAGTTTGACGAAGGTTAACGTTGTCAAACGGTGTATGAGAAACAAAGACAAAAAATGGAGAAGATGGAAAAAAAAAACCTGCTTGCAGATTCACTTCCTCTCTCTTCACCATTCTTACTTTTTTCTTCCCAAAATCAAGATTCTGATTGACGGGCATGAATGCACAAAACTGCATGCACCAGCAGAGCTCAGCTTGATGTGTGTCTATTACTGCCGTCTTTGGTGAAGTGGCGTGTATAGATGCTGCAACAAAGAAGCAGTTATTTTAGCTGCTGTCTTACAGCTGACTCTTCAGGTGTGTTAGCTTCCTCTGAAACAGATGAGGTGAAAAACATGTTTTTTTTTTTTTTACGAAGAACAGTGGTGGCACATAAAGGACAGTTAAACAACTGTAATGCTGCTTTCTTGCACCATAAAAAACTTCATATTTATACCAAAAGGTGATACTTACTACGAGGTTTCTACTCATTTCTTCAAAACTGAGCAAATGCATCATATATTTATCGCCTACCACCGAAAAGTGGAGCCGGAGTGATAATGTGATGTTTTTGCATGTATTTGTGCATATGTCTGTCTGTTGCCAGTGTATCTCATAAAGCACTGGACAAACTTTAATAAACTTTACAGAAAGTAATCATTAGAGACAATGTCATTTCTCATCATAAGATGATCTTAGATTAAAACTCTGAGATGGAATGTGTACAAAGGCCTTGTATTTTTAAGGAATACTAGGTCTTTCTTAGTAAATGTATATATTTGACAGAGTTTAGAGACGTCCACCTCCAGACTACAGTACTCTCATCTGAACAATATGGTTAATTTCTCTCTCTCTTTTTGAAATGTCTCTTGTTTCTTTTTGAGCTAATCAGATGCCTGTTAGGATGCTTAAATCATACAGTGCTTGTACATCCTTAAATGTTATTGCAAGAGACATGTGCCTCATGAACATGGTTTTTCTCCTCAGGCATTTTTGCAGCGAATCAGACAAACTCCAGATGACCAGCAGTGTCTCTCACCTGAACATGTCAAGGTAGGACTAGCTGCTAAATTAGCTTTAATGCAATTTTAACATGAAAGATGTGCCATATGCAATTAAACTCTTCACTGAAACATTTGGGAAATATTTTCAATCCATTAATGTTTATTTACCCTCTTCATTCACTTCTCACCGTTCCTCTTCATGTCTTCCTTCCCTTGAACCACCCTGCCTTTACATCATTCTTTTTTACATAGATCCTGTTTTCAAACATTGAGGACATCCTGGAGCTGCACAAAGAGGTGCTGTCTGCTGTGGAGAGCGGCTTGCAGCCTGAACCCCATCCTAACCATGCCCTGGGCCACGTGTTCCTCCAGTTTGTAAGTGCATGACACACAGAGAAGCACATAAAACAACACCTGAGCAACACCTGAGCTTGTATTTGTCAGCTGTGGTAAGCATGGATTCCACTTCCACACAGAAAAAAAACCCCTCTTTTCAAGGGCTACCTGTAATCAGAGATGAAGGGGAAACTGAGCAAAACCTGCAGTGAAATATCCCCTCAGTTCTCTCTTTCTTACACAAAACACTCTTCCCATCTCCTGGATGCCCTCCTTCTCTCATACAGCACAACAGACGACCTCCTTTTCCTTTTCCTACCTTCTCTGACAGGCCTGCATCCTGCAGCGAAATACTCTCCTCCTTCCATCTTTCTTTATCAGTTTGTGCTACTATCTCCTTTTTTTTGCCACTCCATCACACTTTATTGAGATTCCTCTCCATTCGGTTACACCAACACACACAACCCCTTCCCTTCCTCTCGGCTCCCCTCTGTTTGAACTCATATGGCCCCCGAGAACCAACAAAGAAGGGTCTGTGTCCAGGGAGGAAGAGATGGTGTGTCACTCAGCGAGGGGACAATGTTTCTGCTGGTAGCACTCAATCTCAAGCTCTTTCTTTTGCTGTCCATTTGTCCCTCTGTAATAATTAATCTGCAGTTCACTTTCACTAAGGCACAAAGTCTGCGGCTTGGTATTCCACCATCAGCATGCTTCACCAGCCTTCAAGAGTGTGTAGCATGAACACTGCTATAAGCAATAGCTATGTTTACATGGACATAAGTAATAGGATTAAACAGCCATTCGGATTAAAAAATGCATCATGTAAACTCCCCATTCAGATTATTCTTTGTTGATTCAGCTCAATCCGAAAGAATTTGTAATCAGAATGAGACAGGTGGTTTATGCCGATTCATAATCTGAACGTTGTGCATGTAAACACTTGATCTGTTCATTTTTTTTTCGATTGTGATAAACTGACCAGACTGCGCATGTGCGACCTGTGTCTGCCTCGCATATTTCCGCCTGGCTAATGCTAATAATATTAGCATGTCAAGGAAGCAAAACTGGTCGTTGAGCGACACAACATTTCTACTAGAAACTTTGAAAGAGCTCAAAATGATCTGTGTTACTTGTAGCTCAGTCAGGGAGTGCAGTAACGTCTCCACCGTCATTAAAATCTGTCGCGGGTCCATTTTGGGCGCTCAGGTTTGTTTATGTTCATCACGGAAGTCGAACTTCTTCTTCTGTGTTATTATTTTTTTAAGGAGAGTTTACCACTCTACACAAGCCAGTACTTCTGTTCAGAACAAAGCCTGCTGCATGTAAATGCTCGTCGTGAATGGATTGTGCCCATGTAAACGATACATTTGAATAATTTAATCAATCCGGTCAAAGAATATTGCACATGCAAACATAGCTAGTGTGGAGTTTTACAACCAATTCCAAAAGATGGCATCTTGTAAAAAACTGTAAATTCCAACAGAAGACCATGATTTGCAGATCTCTTAAACCCATATTTCATTCACAGTGTAGTAAAGCTGTTGCATTTTTATTGGGCAAAGGTTCACCAGCCTGCTAAAAATTGTATCTTAAAATAGAGGAACAATTCCAGCTTATTGTTCTTCAACAGAAAATGGAAATACTTTAAATATCCCTTCATCTACGTTTATATTATCATCAAAAATCTTCAAGAAACTGGATTAATCTGTGGAAGGACTCGACTGAAAGTCACTAAGTCGCGAAACAACCAGTAACAACCTTTCTGGTACCTCTTTTGAGCGTGAATAGCATTTATTTGCGTTTGCAGAATTTGCCCATCAAAATGTAGCTTCACACATATGCAGGTTGTCACGATGCAGGGCCAAGTGTCAGGGCGTCGAATCGATTTAAAGGAGCTCCACAAGGTTTTTCCATCGCTCTGCGCTCAGTCTTCAAATAGGAAAGGACAGACTGAATATAAAGTGCCTTTAGGTTTTACCAAATTGGTAAAAAAAAAAAAAAAGATAAGTTGCCTCTGTGCGTTTTCAGTTGTGAAACAGTTGAGTCATCTTATATACCATAGCAGGAAACATCAAATTTATGTATTATGATGACTAACTGAAAATATGCAAAAAAATCGTTTTGTACGAACAACATAAATATCATAGTTAGGATGTACAGTTTGCTACGGAAGAGGATTAGGGCCAAGGTGCAATGTTTTTCTCCTTAATTCTGAGGGGGGGGGGGGGGGGAATCAGAATTCTGAGAAAATATTCTGACATTTTCTCAGAATTCTTAATTTAATCTCATAATTTAGACTTTTTTCCTCAGAATTCTGACTTTTTCCTCAGAATTAAGGAAAATATATTGCACCATGGCCTTAATTCTCTTCCGTAGTTTGCTTATGACACTCTCTGGACTGTAATTTAAATTTAGCACAAATGTTCACTTAGATGTTTGAGGAAAAGCTGAAGAAGATTTTGTTGTTCAAAGGTCACGATGAGTGTGATCTCAGGATTATTTTTCTTTCTTTTGAATGTGATATCTCTGAAACACCTGGAGGGAGTTTCATTACATCTGAGACAAACATTCGCTTTGACTCAAAGATGAACAGATTAGATTTTAGTAAGGAAAGGTCACTTGGACTTAAAAAACACAACACATTTTTGGACGCATTAACTCAAGATTTCAAACCTTATTTTTCATAAATGACATCTGGGACAACAAACGGATGCTCTTTTGTATTTAATTCTGTTTCTGTTAAGGTATTGAGCTTTCCACACAGCACCTTTGTTCCTGAGTATCCATTACACTCTTCTCACCAGCCCATGACCTTCGCCTCCTTCACCGCTGACACCTCTCAGCCAATCGGCTGGTACCGTCTGGCGCCCTCCAGCCGTGGCCCTTGACCTCCTCTGGAGGTCAACACCATGACTGGGATTTGATTAACCTCCTGCATTGTTCCACAAGATCACAGAAAGATTCATTGCTATTCAAAGTCATATGCTGCCAAGATGGTTTGACAAGAGGCAGATTTAAGACGAGCAAATGCAATTTTTTGTTAATATTTGCATAAAACGAACAGTTGAAATACTGCTTTATATATATATATATATATATATATATATATATATATATATATATATCCAAAATGTGTTTCGGTTTTAACCATTTTTTTTTATTTATTTTCCTAATAATATTAAAAGAAATTCTTTCTACTAAATTCAGATACACTAAAAACCTTTGTTAAATGCCTGTAAGGGGGAAAAAAGTTTTTCTTCTGTTTCCGGGAACATGACCACTGTGTAGGAGCCAACATTTATGTCATTACACATTTTCTGGACACTTTTATTTAGTATGTTTTGACATAACACGATTCCTTGCGGGTGATCCTTTCCTCTCATCCAGGTCTATAGAGCAACGTTCCAATGACAAATAATTTAAATACAGACTTACAAGTTTATCAAAGGAACAACCAAAGCCTTTGAGCTATTCTGGGCACAAATGACGTCTTTCAGAGTTGTCCTAGAGTTCAGACATTACTGCTGAAGTAAAGAGTCACTTTTTCAGCTCTGGTTGGGCCTATAAGCTACTTTAAAGGGGCATGAATTGACTGTGTAGGAGAGGAAATACCTCGGTGTGACCTTTATGTGCAAACATGGAAACAAACAGGCTTGTTGTTTTTTGTGAAGAGAGAGGTTCATTCGCTTAAAGATTAAAAGGGTTGTTTCAGATTTATTAGCTGAACCAATCCAGAAGCATTTAAACTATGAAACGGATACACAGCAGCTACGTTTCAAGGTCATGTGACCCTCCCTTAACAATTAGCTTACTTAGGTTTTTGTTTTAGTATCATTTGTATCATGTAAACACAAGCTCTAGAAGTTGTGTGGGATTCAAACATTTCATTTTAAGGTAAATCTGATTTTCCAGCTGAGCTTACTGTGTGTTTTTTTTTTTTAACAATAGAATTTTAAAAAGTAGACAAACAGTGCATTTTGTCTAAATTTAATAAATTACGTCTTGTCAGAGAGATTGTTTTGGTAGGAGTAAGACTTTAAGAGAGTTAGGCGTTTATTGTGTTAACTCTTCAGTTCTTGCCCGGTCTCTTTGTCCTTTTAGGGGCGGAGATGGGGTAGAGCTAGGGCAGCTGACGTGGGACCTAAAAGTCACAGGCTCAACTCCCCGTCATGCCCACATGTCGTGATGCCCTTGAGCAATACAACCAATTCCTAATTGCTGCCCAGGCGGGCACCTACATAGTTGCCCACTGCTCCACCTGGGTGCATCTCACATGTGATGGGTTACATGCAGAGAACTGATTTCATCATTGTTTGATGACAACACATAGCACTTATACACTTTATTTAAAAAAACAAACAAAAAAATTGTTTTTTAAAAAACCTAAATGATCAAAGCACAAAACGGCAATTAATTTGCTTGTGTCTGTTCAGATATGAAATCTTTACCACAGTCCCCTTTTTTAATACAATAATTGTAAATTTACCATTTTTTTCCCTCTTTGTGCATTTAGGATTTTCCTACGGAGATGTCTCTTTAAATCAAATCAAATATTTCGTCTAGTCATATTAACTTATTCATCAACATTTTTCTTACAGTCACCTTTAACTATTGTTAAAGTTAAATTCCATTTTACTCTGTTTTCAGAATGGTGTTGCTGTAACTTTGTTAAAGCCAGAATGGTTTGTCTAGCTGTGTTGTCAGCACCACAGTACCTGAGGCTTCACACCATATGCCAGCCCAGCTGCTGCTCCCAGTGGTGGTTTTGGACTGGGACCCTCCCACACACCACCACCAAACATGGCTTTGGGTGTGTTTGTCTTTCTGTCTGTGGGGTATACACTGCCCACCATTTACTTTGTCCTGCTCACTTGTGCCACACGTGTACAAAAGGAGTTTATTTTATGTCAAGAGAATAAAACCTTAGTTGGTTACATGCACACTAGTTTTTTTTTCTTCCATTTACTTGTGTGGAAGGAAATCTCCATGCATAACCATTAATATCTGTACAATATGCTAAAATAGCAGTTATTAAATTTTCAGGTGTGAGTTTCTTTTACATTCTAACACCATTTAGACTTTGAACACTGGATTTGTTGACTGCATTTTGGCCTTTAAAAGCTCATGCTTTCATGCATCAAGACTTCAGTTGAGGCTGAGAGAAAACCAAACTCTTGCAGTTTTGGATTTCAGGCTGTTTCACACAAAAGTTTCAGTTTCTAGTACTCGACATTAAGCTCCACGGTGCATATGGTTTCATATCCTGGTAGTTAACCAGAGTTAAGAATGGGAAAAAAAAGGCTTCAAGCTACATGGGTGTGCATTCAGCTTCAGCTCTGTGGGTTTTGCCTCTCCTGCATTAATAATGCATTTCAGTCTACATTGTTTTTTCACAGGCTTAGGTGTAGTTTTTCATACCGTAACAAAACCTGAATGCCAGCTCCTCAGAAGCTCCAGCTTTAGTTGCTGCACTGTATTTTTAGAAAGTGTGATGCGCTCATCTCAGAAATAACGAAGTGTTGTATTTTAGCGTGATGCGTGTGTATTCATTTATTTTTTGTTGTTGTAATCTTCCACAATCAGAGCCAACACCTGCTCTGATAGCAAAGTTCAAGATAAAAACGACAAGACAAAACCAGCAACTAAAAGCCACTGGGGTGGCTACTGGGACAAAAATAAAATATCAAATTAAATTATGGTAATTAAAAAAAACATTGCACCTCAACAGAGCCCCCTCTGCATAGCTGCCGTCTTTAAATAGCCAGAACTTATGAAAAATGCATTCAAAAGCACGTGTGATCCTGGCGTGATTAAGATATGTCACTAACTTTGTCACTGACAAAGTAAGCAGTTCTCACCCTTTTTTTAATCTGACTGTATTATTTTTTGATCAGATGTGGTTCGTTTATTGCGGACTTGCTCTATCGTGGTTTTTCAAAATAAGATTGGACATGACACACAATTGGCTGATTGATGGATGAGCTGCACGATTGGCATGCATTTTTTATTTAAAATAAATTATTTAGCACCTGCTGAACATTTGTGCAGCCCAGAGATGCAGAAAAAAAAACTTCCTCCTGCAGCTTTGTGCAGCCCTTTTTGCAGAATAAACTTCCTGCAGCTGATCAGCTGTTCACCGTGCAGAGCCTAGAAGTGGGCGTGGCCAAGAGCGCTTGCAGGTGGCAAAGAACAGAGGAGGCAGGGAGCTCTCGATGTGTGTATGGATGTAGCAACTTGATTTGAGGGGCAGCTGATCACATGACCTGCAGGTCATGTGATCAGCTGCTCCTGAGTTTGCCGAAGACAAATATAAGCTCAGAGGAGACCGTGCTTTTGCTGTGGCTTCTCCTAAACTATGGAACGACCTTCCCCTGGACATCAGACAGGCCTCTTCCCTGTCTGTTTTTAAATCCCTTCATAAACCCATCTCTTCTCCCTAGCCTTTGACACCATCTGTAATGTCGACTTTTAATAATTTTGATTGTTTTTTTGTTATTTGATTGTATGGTTGTTTGCGTACAGCACTTTGGTCCTGTGGGTGTTTAAAGTGCTCTATAATTAAAGCTGGTATGGTATATGTTCCTCATCGGTTGCACCTTTAACATTCTTAAATCACATCTGAAACTTCTTTAATTTTTCTTCATTGTCTAAATACCCACATCTCTGTTCATTCTTCTGGGTTGTGAACCAGTTTGTAAAACGTGATATGAAATGTGTTTTTTCTTTTCATTTGCAGAAGGACAGTTTCTCAGTGTACGGCGAGTACTGCAGTAACCATGAAAAGGCTCTACGACTTCTAATAGAGCTAAACAAGATTCCTGACATCAGAGCCTTCCTACTGGTAAGACAGTTCAGCATATCTACCCCTGGTTTCCGTGCTCCTGCTTCTAGACTCTGGGGTATAAAATCCTTCTTTAGCATCATTACTGGAATCTCACCACATCACGTTATGACTTCACCAACAGAAAACTGATGCAGCTTTGTTGAGCACTTGTGTCCAAATGTGTCAAGATGGCCCCAATCACTGCGTTAAAAACAAGTTTCTAACTTCTTTCTTTTTAATTATTTATGAAATGAACCCATCAGTTGATGCCACACTTTCTGTGAGTGTTGCTGAACTCTTTTATTACCTTCTCATTTTTATTTCTTTATTTTTCCCCCATCCTTCCTTTGTCTTATATTTCATTCTTCCTGTGCATCTCCGCTTGCTCTTTTTTTGGCATCTGTCCAAGCCACTTCTTCTTTTTTTTGTCACTGGTGTCACCTTTATTTCCATGTTAACACATGAATAAAGGACAGAAACCATAACAAGGTCTGCAGGTTCTTCCTGTGTGGACAGGATGCAACTGCTGTCAAGGTTACTTTTGTGTATTGTTGCACTTTGTGGTGCTTCTGCAGCCAGCTGTTTCCTTGTTTTTGACACCCAAACCTTTGGGCACCGGACAATGAACTTAAAATGGCGACAGGACCCTTAAGTGGGGCCCCATCTAAGGAAATCATTTACAGATCAGCCAGCTGTGGAGTGCTGGCAGCCTTTTTGAGATTGGCGATGAGTTCTGAGCCTCATGTTTTGTCATTGTCTGAGTTTCTTCCACGACGTTATCCTGATCCACATGAATGGAAACAGTGCTGTGTGTATGTGTTAGGTCCCGAGTCATGCTCTTTCCACAATAAAATGACTATGCAACATCTGGGCGTGCATCAAAGCACCTATTAGACCGGCTCAGTATAATTTAAAAAACTGAATGAGGTCTTGTGTTTTGTGTAGCAACAACCAGCAAAACAGTAACAAAGCTTCTTAGATATTTTAAACAAAGCTTAAAGGTACTCATTGAAAAGTATGAAACCAAATATAAAGAAAAGTTTTCAGGAACTACATAAAATGGTGCATTTCCCATAGTTTTTCAGATATAGTAAATGCAGTTGTGAAATGCAGGTCCACACTTAATGTTAACAAAGTATGCATTTGAATCTGCAGAAAACCCTGTGGAAGCTTGAGTAAGGTGACTGACCTACACTAGGGGTTGAATAAACTAGTTGACTAGTCGATTGTAGGACATCTCGCAAGTTTTTAAATTTCACGTCGATTAGTCGCAGACGGTGGTTGTGTCATGTGATCAGTGCCAGGCTGCTGGTTACAAAACGGGTTCTTCCAAGCAGATGGAAGGCGAGGAGCAGGCAAAGTCTTCCCAAACGGGTAGAAATTCATCAACAGTGTGGAAGTATTTCACTAAAGATGATGATTTTAGTTTCATTTTATTTAATCTATGATGGGATCCCACCACCGCCCGCCTCCTGTTTTTAGTTTTATTTTATTTAATCCACTAAATAAAATAACAAAAAAACACCACTGCCGGTGGAGAATCCACCATTGCGGTGGTGGATAGTTTTTATTTTCATTTAATTTAATCCACTAAAAATAAATAAATTAACGGGTGTGCTCCACCGGAGAATCCACCACTGCTCACCACAGCCGGTGTTCACCGTGCACCACAGCCGGCGTTCACCATGCACCACTGCCAGTTGGTAGCATTTATTTTTATTTTATTTAATCCACTAAATAAAATAAAAATAACAACGGATGCACATGACCGGAGAATCCACCACGCACGACCACCGGTGGAGAGCCCACCACCGCTGCGGTATTTTTTTTAATTTAGTGGATTAAAAACTAACTTTTACAGCTTAATTGTTTTGGTTTTCCCTCTTACTTATTTGCAGTATAATAAATGCTAGGAGCATAAATATACGCTCTCGATATTTTCTTGTTCTTTTTTTTTTTTTTGTAAATAATAAATGACGTTTTTTTTGCTTTTTTCTTTAAGCGTCATGAGTTCCTATGACGTCATCAACTAGTTGACGTCGACTCAACTATTATCATGTTAATGTCGACTTTAAAAAATATGTAGTCGTTCAACCCCAATTCTACGCAGGGCTGGTTGTAGTCGGTGCAAGTAAACAAATATAGCGGAATCATACAAGCATAGACTCATAGAAGACGTTTAGGTGGAAATATGAGTGAATCTGCTACTAAACACGAATGAAAAAAGAAGACTTGAGTAAGAACTTGAATAAATATTGGGGCTCCTGTTAATTGAATTTTACAACGAAAGGAAGCTTTTTTGAAGTTGCACAATGAAATGAAGTGTTAATTGCATTGTGGGAGATGAGAGAAGTAACGTGAAAGCAAAACGAGGTCAGAGTGATGAGACTTGTGGCTTCAGGCTGGTGGATTACAAAACACCAACGATGAGGGGAAAAAACTAAAAATTAGGTTAGAAATGGGGGGGTGTAAGAACAAAACATGAAGAAGAAATAATACAACGGGAATGTGTGGAATAAGAAATGTTGCTTTATTTTCCTTTAGAAATGCTTCACCAGTCTCCTCTACTCTGTGTAGGCTTGAAAGGAATTGCCACGTGATAATTTTAATGCTTTAAAGTGATCAGCCTTTCTTCCCACCGAAGAACGCTCCAGTGGTTTATCTGCATGATGGCGTTTGATCTTTCTTCTCATCCCACAAGCTCAAAGTATAACAACAGACTGTGTTAAATCAAAATCCAAGGTGAAGTGAAACCCAGACCGGAACAGTCCCCCCACCCCCCACCTCCTTCCCATAGACTTCTAAAGAGAGCTCCAGTTTGTCAGTTGGTTCTGTGTTGAAGTTTATTTCTTTCTTCTGAAGGATAAGGATTATCTTTGATGGTCTCTTGTTAAAAGGTGTGGACAATTTTCTTTTTATAAATCTTGACAGCGGTCCAACATACTAAGAAAGATTGATTCTTTTACTAATTTACAGCCGCAAAAAATTGTCCTGCATTTACATTTTTACCTTTTAAATGAGATGTGTCTCAGTCTACAAACAGGCTGATCAACTAGGACACAAAAAGCAAAGCAAACGGAAATCATGCTCAGTTATTGCTCAGAGATTTCAGACTGGATGTAGATGCAAATGACAACCGTAGCAAGTTAAAAATGACGACTACACCCATGTCCAATTAAAATGACGACTGCAGCCAATTAAAGTTTGACGCTGACAAATAAATAAATAAATACACACAGAAGACTACGCTTTTTGTAGAAAAATCTCTGCAAATGCTCATCTGCGAGTTGGCTTGTATTTCTGAATGGAGTTACTCTGTAACTGAACTATAAACTAACCTTTTATACTAATCTTGCATCCATTTCCACCGTTCACTTCCCTCATTGTGGCACCGAAGTGTTTCAGATGGTTACAGGAAGTAAAGCAAAACAAAACGCCCTGTGTGTCCGCTTTCCTCTCCAACTTGTTCTGTCTGCACACACGAGTCGTTTTACACATACAGCCGTTTGTAAACCTGTTTGTTTCTGGTTCTTTAAAGCACTGCATGGTTCTTGGAGGAAAGAAGGGCACAGATAGTATTCCACTGGAGGGTTACCTTCTCACGCCCATTCAGAGGATCTGCAAGTACCCTCTGCTGCTGAAGGTACTGTAGCACCTTCCGTTGAGCTGAAAACCTTTTTTGGGGGTGTTTTAACAAAGCAAACCGAAGAAGCAAGCTCAAATTCAAATCATAAAGAACTGTGTTGATGCCAGTGACTCATTTATAAACTTGGTTAGACGGGCCCAGTCTACCAGCAGTGTAGGTTGCATTTTAGGACTCGAGCTGGGAAAGGTCACGCACTTAACAAAATATCTTGTTTTTAACCTGCCTACTTTTGACATATGTACAGTTTTTTTGGTAACTTCCTCTTTTCATGATGTAGGAGCTGCTCAAAAGGACCCCTAAGAAACATGCAGATTACCCCGCAGTGGAGGAGGCTCTGCAGGCCATGAAGGCTGTGTGCTCCAACATCAACGAGACCAAGAGGCAGATGGAGAAGCTGGAGGCTCTAGAACACCTGCAGTCACACATTGAAGGCTGGGAGGTGAGAGCAACAGGGGTGGCAGTCACTGTGAGGAGTTGTGACTATAAGAATCACAAATTTTGACTTGATAAATGCACAATCACCCTAAATGAAGCATGACTCCCCTCAAACTGGAACAACAGCTCTGATTTTCTTTAAGAGACCTCAGCTGACACAATTTGTAGCTATCTTAACAGATCTACACTTTAGCAGCCCTGCTTTGAGTTCAGGAGCCACAGATAGGGCTTGGGAGCCGAGTGAAGGGTCCAGTGCATTTTTCACGCCTCGCCTTACTCACCACAACAGAGTCCTTGTTTTAGTGGGCACCAACAGGACAATCCACCCACACAGGGTGCTGAGGGGGGATGCCAACAGGCTGACTGCCCAATTAAAAGAGAACCAAGAAGCAGAGCTCGAGTCCCACATGTCTGGAGTGATATAGGGTAAAATTAAAAGACGAAAGCATTTAGTGGGCCCCATTGGAACATTGGTTGCGTGCCAAAGTAGACTCCTGCCTCCATTTTACTTAGGAAAGAGTCACCATTAAGTTCTGATAATTATCCTCCAAGACAATAAAATCAGTAATGGTTGTGTAACTCTGATACGCTGACGTTAGATGATTGTCTAATTTCTGCTCTTGTGTTAAGCAAAACACAAATAAATAAAAGACAAATAAAGAACCTTGAATCATTGAAACCTTGAAATAATAAATCATGTATGTTTATTGGACAGCACGGTGGCGCAGTTTGTAGAGCAGCCGCCTCTCAGTGAGCAGGTCGCCACAGTTCAAATCCCGGCCAGTGGCCTTTCTGGGTGGAGTTTGCATGTTCTCTCCGTGCATGCGTGGGTTTTCTCCAGGTACTCCAGTTTCCTCCCACAGACCAAAACATGCATGTTAGACTGATTGGTAACTCCAAATTGTACCTAGGTGTGAGTGAGAGAGTGAATGGTTGTTTGTCTCGTTTGTCTCTATGTCCCTTTGATGGACCGGAGACCTGTCCAGAGTGTCCCCCGCCTCTTGCACAGTGATGGCTGGACATGGACACCAGAGATTCCTGTGACCTGAAAAGGAAGAAGTGGGTAAAGATGATGGATGGATGTTTATTTATGTTTCTAGTTCATACGTCAATAAGCTAAAAGGCCCTTAATTTTTATAACTTGTCTCATATTTGTATTTTGTTAGTCAAGTCAACTTTATTTATAAAGCACATTTAAAACGGCAGCGGTTACCAAACTGCTAAACAATAAAAATCAATGGGAGTAATTTAATGGAAAAACGCATAAATAAAAGTAATGATAGTACTGAAGAAAAACCTACAAACACAGAACAATAAATACTAAATCAAATCACACTGTGTTAAAAGCCAGAGAAAACTGACGAGTTTTTAGCAGAGGTTTAAAAACAGGAAGTGAAGTGGCCTGTCTAATGTTGGGGGGGGGGGGGGCAAATTGTTCCAATGTTTAGGGCCCACGACTGGAAAAAGCCCGATTTTAAAGCAAAAGTGTAAAAATGTAACTTGTTTCTGCTTTGAAAATGTACCATTTAATTAATTTTAAATTGATTTTTTGTTCATTGGTCACTTTAATAAAACATTATAGGGGTTTTAAACTCAGTTCGGTTGGGTTTTTATTAGTAATAAATAGAGTAACTGCTAAAATACAAAATAAAATACTAAAAAACTAGAACAACTGCCTTTTCTGCAATAAAGCAGTGAATGCTGAGTGCTGAAATTTAGTTTTGAAGGAGATCTCTATGTACCAAAGTTCATGCTCATTAATCCAGGTACAAATCCAGAGTCAGAGTTTCTTTATTGTCATTTGCACCTCATGTGGTACATGTGGTGGAGTGAAATTATGTACACAGGGTCCCAGTTACATCCAACAATAAAATGTAAAAGAAAAACAGTAATAACATCTAAGATATGAACAAAGAAAAATATCAACTAAATATACACTAAGCACTAATAGCATAAAAACATTACGTCAAACATCAGCACAAACCAGCACCAAAGTTCACGCTCATTATTCCAGGTATAAATCCAACAATGTTCAGTCAGGTCTCAACGTATTTCTTTGAGGAAAATTCTTGTAAATAAAGTCAAATAATTCAAAAAGTATAAAAGTTATGAATACTTAAACTCAAAGCACACACTTCTCAGTCGAGCAGAACGTTTGGATTTATGAATGGTAAAACTGCACCAAGTATATATACAGTTATACTTTACTTGCATTAAAACGTACCAAAGAAACAAAATTATAAACAGAAAATCAATATTTGTATTAATTATGTGAATGCTAAATCAGCATTCACATGATACTAGGTGTATTTAAAGCAGCAAGTAGCTTTACATTAAGGTTGGTGGTCAGTCTTTTTGCTGAATTGTCTAAACGTGCAACATAAACAAGTAAACTCATCTTATATTAGCCAAAAAACAGATCACAGTCATACTGATACTACTTTGCAATCAATTATTGCCTGGTTTATTTTTCTTGAAATTCTCAATGTTTTCCTTTAAACAAAGCAGAACCTTACGAAGACACTTTGCTCTGACCCTGCAACCCCTCCACATTGAGCCTTTCACCTAACACCATTACTCTCGCTCGTCTTTCCGCTCTTCAGCCGCTCTCCAAGGATAATCACCCTCAGCTCTAAATGGAGCAGACCGCTAGTGGTCCAGAATCAAACCCAAACACATTACCGTGTACTCGTTGTGCTTGTCTTACAACGTGCACGAACGCACGCGTTCATATTTGTTCGCTTTCTGCTCGTCCATTGACATTAAGTGGCCATAAGGTGTGTCTTCAGACACATGTTGCAATATATGAGTGGCTATGCGCAGGCTCAAGCTCACCACAAGTCTTTTCCCCCGCTACCTCAGCTTAGTGCAGCTGCCATGAGGTTGAATCGATTGTTTGACATGTGGGCCCCTCCCCCATCCAACTGGGTATTCACCTTAAGAAAAATAGAGAATAATTAGAGAACACTTTTTTTGTGTCAAGGTGGAGGATGTATGCTATCAAGGGTCTCGGGAGGCTCCATGTCCGAGACTTGTCTAAATGTGATCTGTGGGGACGCAGTGGGGGTTTGATGGGAACACTTCAAGTCAAAAAGGGGCCCACACATGGATGCATTTAGTTCTGGATGATTTGGGGAGGAATGATCCACTTAACGATGAGTAATGAGTCGTCTTTTGCCTTTATTATTTCATTTATTGGCGGCGTTGTTTTAACAGCTTAAGCAAGCAGTGAGAATTCTCATGCCTGCTCTTAATCTCTTTGAATGAAAGCCATGAAAATGTCTTCATTTGGATTTTGATACGTTAAAGGCACAATGTGAGCGACAACATGTTAATGAAGGTTTTTATCTGTGAAATTAATTTCTGTTCTCTAGCTGGGGGTGGGGGTGGGGGGCACTCTGTAAATGGCTTCCTAAAATAATTGCTTATGTAATGATTGCAGTTGATCCTAAAGTTCACTCACTAATTAGATTAAAAATATGGTCAGCCAGTACAGCTTTTTAATTATTATTATTTTTTACCTATAACAGATAAAGTTGATGGTAAATGACCCATAAATGAAAGATAATTTTAATTTTATCACATTGAATATATTTATATTTTTAAATGTAAGTTATATACTGTAGTTGGAAGAGTCTTCTGACTTAACATTTTATTCATATACCATTATATATTGAACTGTAATACAGCATTCACTGCAATGACAGTAACTCACCTTTCTCCTCTGCTATAATGAACCTCAGCCATTTATGGTTTATTTCATTGTTCATTAAAAATATCTTTGTGTTAAATCTCATCATATCTTGTGAAGGAGGTCAGCTACAAAGGGTCATTGTACATATTTTTAAATACTGTAGGTAGATGGCAGTTTAACAAGTTATAGAATTGTAAAAATACAAGCTTTGCAAACATTTCATAAGACATTCAGCCTATTTAAAGAAAACGTATCCCACAACAAGGTTGAGTCAGGCCCTCTCACGGATTCTTCTTTGTTGAAACGTTTTGTCTGATCCAAAAGACTTCTTCAGTCCAAAGAGGTCTTGTTGGATTTATCTACCTGGCTTATTGAGCATGCATCAGGATACCACTGGGTGGTTTGGTGTTGTGAGCACCACACCAAACATGGATGGAGAAAGCAAACTTGACAGCTGTCTGAGGAGCTCAGAAATATTAGCTATTAATGTTAAAGGTAAAGGCTGCAAAGCCATCTCCAAGCAGCTTTATGTTCCTCTGACCTCATCTGCCAAACTTTGTACAAAGTATATGGTACTGAGCCAACCTTCCAGAATGTAGACGCAAGAGGAATTGCAACCCCGGTTTAGGTTAACATGAAAGGGTACCAACAAATTTGTTTGTCTGTACCATGTCAACACTGTCTGTTATAGGACTTACTTTATCTGTACAGTAGTCCCTCGTTTATCGTGGTGGATCCTTACCCTGAAGACCCATGATAAGTGAAAAACCGTGAAGTATGAATAGTAATACTAGTAGTAAGTTGTAGCTTATTTTACTATATATATATATATATATATATATATATATATATATAAATAATTAACCCTTCCCACACTCTTGCAATATTATAAACAATGTTTCTAAACTCTAAATCCTCTAAAAGAGCACAGAATGTCATGATTTCCTTCTGTGCCTCCGCTGCTCTCAGCCACCTGCAAGTGTTCTTGGCCACACCCACTTTCCCACGCTGCATGGAGAACAGCTGATCAGCTGTTCAGCTGCAGGAGGAAGCTTATCCTTCAGTATGGACTGCACACAGGTGCAGCAAGTGCTAAGTTTTAAATAATTTATTTTAAATAAAAATTCCATGCTGATCGTGCCGCTCATCCATCAATCAGCCAATGGTGTGTCATGTCCAATCTTATTTTGAAAAATCGTGATAGAGCGAGTCCGCGAAAAACGAACCGCGAAGTAGCGAGGGACTACTGTATAGACACATTTACATGTTGGGAGTAGAATATCATCAGTGTTTGGGAGATTTCAGTGGAAAATACACATTATTACATGCTGAAGTAACCGTTTTAGTTCTAATTCAGTTGTAAGTGCTTTTAATCACGTTGCAGGAAACCTTATTTTGCAGTTTTGGTTAAATACTCTCCTTTAGTTCTTTATTTACTTCATAAGAGCCTAGCTGCTCTGACGGAGAGAAGTTATTTTTAGGTTTTTGTTCAATTGTAAGATATAAGATTGGTTTGGGAGGATCAGTTGTGTTCAGCCTTTCCTATCATTGACAAAAGAATGAAAACAAGTTGTTCATACCAAAGTTGACTTCATATTGTTGCAGTCAGGTTGTGAACTCATACAGACAACAATGTTTTCTTTGCAACTCTAGAACTCTGCTCTGCTCAGATAAAATAAACTGCGGCTGCAGCACATGGCAGTAGCGTTTCATTTCTATGCCTTTTTTTTATTTCTTTCTAGGGAACCAACCTAACAGATATCTGCACAGAATTGCTTCTTCATGGAAATCTTCTCAAAATCTCAGCAGGCAACATCCAGGAACGTGTCTTCTTCCTTTTTGACAACCTTTTAGTTTATTGTAAAAGGAAGTCCAGGTGAGAAATGCAACATTCAAAGAACTGCACGTTAAGTCAAATATGAGAAAATGAAAAAAATCATTTTAAACATTTTTTCCCCATTGGTTGACTAATAGAAAAAGTTTAAACATGGAAAAATCAAAAGCAGTGCAGATAATTACATTTCTGTTAATATTGACTCCTATACAAGCAAAAACATAAATAAATAAAACAAAAATACCTATACACATGCCCTGCTCACATACCTGCATCTGTATTAATGTATCATTACAGAGACCAGTTTGTTTGTTTTTTACGGTGTGGCACTGGCATCCACGGATGCTTTCCCTCCTCAGTGTAACCACAGCGTTGTGTTTTTTCCAAGGGTTTCTGGAAAGAAGTCTAGTAAGAGGACCAAGTCTATCAACGGGCCCCTCTATGTGTTCAGAGGCCGAATCAACACGGAGGTGATGGAGGTGGAAAATGTGGAAGATGGAACAGGTTTGTGTTTACTCACCAACATATTACCTTTAGAGACTGTGTCTGTAAGTGTCCATGCATGCAGTTCTTTATCTAAGCTTTCCCCCATGAGGTTCTGGTTATTTCCAACGTTGTGTAGATCAATTTGATTGATTTACAATGATTGCTTAGTTATTTTAGAGAGCAAATAGCTGCAAAATTAAAGCCCTGGGATTCCTTAAAGGTGCTTATTGCCAGAATTGTACCATCTTTTGTTAAGAAATTGAGTTTCATAAATATCAGTTAATGGCATATTTTGCTGACACTACATACAAATAAACACATGCACGCATGCATGCATGCGACTGGCAATAACATCATCTTTTACCTTTGGCAAAAGGCTATAATTACTGCTATTATATACTACTACTACTACTACTACTACTACTACTACTACTACTACTACTACTACTATTATTATACTACTACTATTATAGTTTGCATATAACGCAGACTTTTTTTATTCACACCTAAACTGTCAACGAGGAGCTGCTTCAGCTGCTGGTGTCAAAATGGAACTGTTAGTTGGATTTAAATCAGGTTGTTGTTGACAGTTTGGGTGGAGTATCGCACTTGCACCTAGTTTCCAACAGGATGTAGCTTGCAATGTTGTGTACCTTTGATGTTGGCTATTCAGTAATGGGTTGATGCGCCGATAAAATTCTTACGTGTGAAACCAGCCTTTACAAGGCAATAAACTTGATGCGTTCTGATTGAGGTTGAGATAATGGGTCAAAGATCAAGTCGTCTGTGAGCAGATGCTGCAATGGTCTTCACGCGGATCGTTTTTGTTATTGTGGTTTGCTGCGAGGCTTCGCTGGGCTCAGTGCATGTTGTTCCTCTCTCTCTCTCTCTCTCTCACATGTTTCCTCTTTTTTTTTCTTCTCTGTCTCAGTCTTCTTCACGATGGCAGATTATTTCTGCACGCTCACATGACTGGTGCTGGCTGTCACATTTAAACTGCTGAAAGGGAAACCGCAAAGAAAAACAAGCCTCATTTGCAGAATTCAGGGGTCCCATTTTCAAGTGTGAACGTTGTAGCACAGGGGTGTGTCTGTTTAAAATGAAAAATGCACCAGTTTGGGTTTCTTGGCCAAGTTTAATCTTTGTAAAGCTCTGACCTACTGTTTGATACGTCTCTAAGACAGTAAGTTTCTTTCGACTGCTCCCTTCTTCCACGAGCAAACAAGAGTCGTGTTCAAACCTGCATTTGTAGAAAATCCCTGCTTTATTTTAATGACCTTAAATGCTTTTTGCACTTTAAAAATTATATCCTAGAGCACCTTATAAATATTACAGATCACTAACTTTATGGCTCCCTCTCTCAGTAAACTGAGTCAAAGCATTCCCACCAAAGTTGCCCTGTACCACTGGGAGTAAATGCTCTACAGCAGGGGTGTCAAACTCACTTACAAAAGGGGGCTAAAATTAAAACATTTTTCAAACTAAATGCCAATTTCAGAAACTACATTAACTCAAATCAGATGCCCAACGTCTTTTCTTGGTTGCAGGTTCCTCAGCAAGAGTTTGATTGGTCTCATTTAAGACCAGTTTGTCACTCTGTTGTGCTTTCAACATCATAATCAAAGATTACTGAAAAAAAAAAAATTCAAGTGATAAAAGTCTTTTACATTTAACATATCATCTTGGGGGCCAGACAAGATGCCACTGAGAGCCACATTTGGCCCCCGGGCCTTCAGTTTGACACATGTGCTCTATGGTGTATTCAGCGACTACAACAAAAAAATTAAATTAAGGGACTGATCTGCCATTTAACAATCTATTTAGCAAAACTTAAAATAATTTTAACAGCCATCTGCAGAGCAATATAAAAGAAAAGACCAAATAACCATTACAACAATTACATCCAACTATGCATGCTAAAAATAATATTTTGATCCCCCAAATTCCTTGTTGACTGATACTGAGTACAGACATGTACTAATAGTTTGTTTAAATTATTTAGTAATGTGTTACTGCTACAGTTTTATTACTGTTTGTATCATCTTGTTTTATCTGTAGTTTATTTTGTTGTAATGTCAGCATACTTTACAGTGTATTTTATGTTCTTTGCGATGATAATAAAATAAATTAGACTTAATTGACACCCAGTTTGAATAATCCGCCTGTCGCGCTACCTGGCTGGGTCTCGGCATGCACTTTGAGTAGAGCATTTGTATCCGAGTAGCTAAAATCAAAGTGAACACATTGGTTCTCCATCTGCCTCTATTCAGTTTCATTCTGTCTCAGAAAAGCAAAAGCTGCTCCCAGTGGGACCAAAAGTATCAAATCTATTTATACGACCTTTGAGTGTGAGACTAATGCACCCCATTACCAGGGGTCATTCATTATTCAGAGGCTGCTCACCTGCAGCTAAATGGATGATGGGATTAGAACGGGGTACGAGGAGAGAATTTGATGAGTCGGTGAAATAGTGGTCTTTTATTGCTTTTATGCTGCACCCTGTTGGTCCATTCAATTGGCTTTTAAATCCATCTTTGAGACTTTAAACTCTCTTCAGAGATAGCTTTAATGTTAACATCTTTGCAGGCATGATTTGATTACTCTTATGATTTCCTTTAAGTAAAGCTGTAGTCAGTTTTTATAATCGCTGACTGCTGAAGACAAAAAAGGATAACTAGTGAACAAATTTTAATAAAACTCAGAGGAAGTAATCATTTGATGTACATCTGCAGCTGATTAGGTTTTGAAGTCAACACAATTTATGGCAGTCACCACAGCTAATCAACATTAGCCAACATAAAAAAAATGGTCTTAACTCAGCAATTATTTATAGACACTAAATAAAAATTTGGTGTGGATGTATATGACAGTCATCCTCAACAAATACTCTGAGCTAAGACATCATATGACGATTTGATTTAAATATCTGGCATGAAATGAGGCGGGCGATATGCATTCCTTCAAGGAATGCTTCCCTGTTGTTAATCAATGTGTGGAAACTGGAAATAGAAAGCAAAACAAGACACAAAGCCAAGATGAAGAAGATGAAGCCAATTTGTTTTTAGAGTATTTATGAACTAAAACTTTTGTACCGTGGGCTTTATAAGGAAGATGGCTTGATATAGTTCTTATTTGCAAAGCCTGAAAAAGCTATGGCACATAAAGACTGAATAATGTGTCCTAGGGCTTTTTATGTCCACCTCCCCTTTACTGAAATTCATTAATTTGCTTTTCAGCTGACTATCACAGCAACAACTACACAGTGACTAACGGCTGGAAGATCCACAACACGGCTAAGAACAAGTGGTTTGTCTGCATGGCCAAAAATGCAGAGGACAAGCAGAAGTGGCTGGATGCCATCCTGAGGGAACGGGAGCAAAGAGAAAGTGAGTATTGACTTTTTTAAAGGTTAATATTATGGTATCCATAGTTTTCCCCCCTCTCTTTTTGTATTTTTTTTTTTTTTGAAAGCCTTATCATCATTAAATAGATTTTAGAAGAAAACATTGTCATTAAGTATTTATGTCGTACATCTTTATTACTGCCTGCTTCACAACACCCTGAGAATTTGTATTTACTCCATTTATTTACTGCACTGAAGAGTTGTTTATAATTTACCACCATTTATTGATACTACAGTTCCAGCAATCAATCTACCATCTTGTTGTCATTTTGCGCTTCATTCCTAATTGATCTTTTTTCATTTCAAACAAACAACCTGTTAAGTTTCTTGTCCGTGTTTGTGCAATGCAAAATAGGAAAGCTTGCACATGGTAACCACTGTGCATTACTTCTGACCTGGTTTGAGCGTCTGCATCTCGTAGTCATGAACTATGAACACATTTGGCTGCCCTTGTTTTTAAAATGGAGGCTTTGGATTTCATGACGATTTTTTTGAGTCTGCCTGTTTCATTTCTGTTGTGGAAGGTGGCTGCAACAATTATTTTTTTTATTACTGTTTATAAAAATAATCTGCAGCAAAACTGGTGGTCTCATTTTAAACTAACAAATGTCTCATTTAGAAAAATCTGATATTGTAAAAACAGTAGTTATCTTAACTAATCTATATATAATGTATTTTATAGCTAAATTAAGCTTTTTTTCAGACATCATGCCAAAGTATTATATGGGAGGAAAAAAAACTAGACATTTTAAAGGGTGTCAGTGTAGCTACTGTACAAACTTACATTATTTTTTGTAAAATTCGGAAGAATTAACTGATCAAAGTAACTGTTAAAGATGCTGCCAGTGGCACATTAGGGTTACCATGGCAACTGCACACCTTTGTCTGTCACTCCCTGACAGGAAACACAACAAAGGCAAACAGAAACAGACTGAAAATGAAGCCTCACCCAAACAGTCGCTGTGCAAAAACAACAAGTCAGAGCTGACACATTCTTAAACCATGAGTGGAAGAAGACTGGAGGTCATTTATGGGAAGTTTTAGTGTTTATAGGAGAAATTAGAACTTAAAAAGATGCTTCACGTACAGTTTAAAGAGAATATTTTGAGCTAAGATATAACCAGTCTGTCAAAGGTTGGGTGTGCACTCTCAGCATTTTGGAATGATTTGAGAAAAGCACGAGTTTTAAAGCAGGGAGAGGCACACTGGGGGACAGAAGACAAAAATCAGTATGTTTTGATGTATAATTTGTATATACCGTATATAATTTGTATATAGGTACATGCACCTTGCAGATGTTGGACGCTGTCTGTCACAGTGCGCTAAGATTCATAACTGGCTGTAACTATCATACCCACTACTGCACTGCAATGACTTTGCTGAATGTAAAACAGTCCACTGCAGTTAAGCTAACTGTTTATACCAATTACCAAAATGAATACGCCTTGCTTTTGTAATGTTGGAATTTGATCTAAGCCTGCTTTTTTATTAGTATTTGTGTCTTGATTAAAGGAGTTCAGAATACAGATAAGTCTCAATGAGTGTGCTGCAGCTCGTGGTGTTGAGTTTCAACCCGGCGGAAATTGACCTGAGGCAAACAGATGCCAGATCGGTCACAGATCGCAGTTTCTCGATTTACTCCTCATACATTACATTTTCTGTCAAATACTTTATATGTTCTCACCTTTCTTATAACACTTAATTCCTGTCTAGACTGCAATAACACGAGGTTTTTAATGCAATAAATCTTGACACTTTCCACCTTTTGACCTACATAAATGACTTTTTATTTTAACACTCTGACCTTCTTCTGTGTATTGCTTCAAAAAACTGTTTTCCTGTTTTTGGCACATGGCTCCCCTCATACAACCCCTCCTCTAATGAACCGCCATTGTTCAACAACTGCCAGTTGGTGGTGTTGTGACTTGTCACTGTTTTTCATTGAAGTTTAGGGAAATCACATGGGTCAGATAAAGTGTTATGGTTTTATCCTGTGCCAGTGAGCACAGGAAGATGAGGGGCAGCTTTAGACGAGCTCTGACAGCTGGACCAAAGGGCTATGCACTGGAGGGGCCCCCGTCTGTTGTTCAATGACACTTATTGTTTAGGTCTACTCCAGCTGCTGCCAAATGTAATACAACACCACCTCCATCACAGTGTGCCAGTGGAGCTCTCCAAAGACTCGCTGAGAAGTTTGGTGTTAGAAATAAGCTGTATGACATGTATTGTTTGTTGCAACTCCCCTTTGTTAAAATTAGTCAAGCTCCCACCCCATCACTCAATTTTCAAGTGTAATGAAAAAAAAAGTCTAATTGTGTGACTGGAGATTCAATATTCACACTACTGTTTTTTACTATCTACCTCTGCATTCTTTGTGCTATTTTAGACATTCGTATTTCATAACACTGAGCTCATTAAGGAGATGGATGCTATGACTTTTTGTAACTTTTATACTTTTCACATTATGTAACTTTATTCACAACATTTTACCCATAGATATATTGAGGTCTCCTTTTTTAATATAAAAACTTAACCTTTCTTCAGCATTATTAAACTATTTTTGTCTTCTTGTGCTTCTTTTAACTTTTAACTATCATTTTGCTACTTCTTACTTTTTGGAAGCTATTTTCTACTTTTAGTTAATGTTTTGCAACTTTAAGCTAGCTTTTACTTAATTTAGTTTTAGGTGCAAGGAGCAAGACACTTTCTAAAAAAAAGGCAAAACATTATAGAAGCCAAAAGTCGTAAAACAACATCTAAAAGTAGCAAGACATTAGCTATTTTTAACTAACATTTAGCTCATTTTAGCTTCCAGCTACTGTTCTGCTTCTTTTAGTTTGAAATTACACTTTTAAAATGGAGAACAACTCTTAACTGGGTGGAAAAATAAATATTTACTATTTATTTATTTTTGTTAACTATTTCAGAAACGCTTATTTGTGCAATAGCAACTTAAAAGTTAAGTGGGTGTGTTGAGAGTTTTATAGAACGCCTCAAAGTATAGCCGCCTTACCAAGAACTAAAGTGCTTTTTTATTTTTTGCTGAAGTTTTACTCATACAAAATCTGAACTTTATCAGCACGTTATGGCTTGTAAAACTGAGAACTTAAGTCTTGAGTTGAGAAGCTTGATGTGCCGCGCAGCAGAGTTGAGCAGATTATGGAGTCCCATAGAAATAGAGTTGATTTGCACAAGTCAGAAAGTCTCAAAATCCAGTTCAGAAGTTCATCAAAGCCCAGGATGAGGTTAAGCTGCTCCAACACAGAAGTGGTTTCACTGGAGCAGCCAGAACTACAATGGATCCTCACATGTTCTGCTATACATTAGAGGAATAATTGTTAACAAATCAACACGGAAACAAAATCCAAACCACCCTGAACTTCACTTACTCTTTAGAATCAGAGGCTTGTGCAGACCCAAGCTGCAAGTGTTTTGTTTCTGACTGTAAGCCAGTACAATACATACTAGATGATCCATGAAAAGACCCGTTTGTATCTTCTAACAGCACTGTGACGTGTATTTGCCTTTTGGATTTGATGAATTTAAATAGCTTTAGCCAAGTTGAAATCTCTAGGTTTGCTTTATTTTTCTTGGCTTAGAATTTGTTTGCCCGTTCATTTCCTTTCCAGAGGTTTTTAAGCAACTTTCACCCCAACAGTGTTTCACTTCATTGGTTGTAAATTCAGTAAATTTGACTAAATCTCTTGGCTCTGGCTTATTTGTTTCATTTTGTTTATTTTTTTGTCATGTTTTTAGGTCTGAAGTTGGGAATGGAGCGAGACGCCTACGTGATGATAGCAGAGAAGGGAGAGAAGCTCTACCACATGATGATGACCAAGAACAGGCATCTGATCAAGGATAGGCGTAGGAAGCTCAGCATTGTGCCCAAGTGCTTTATGGGAAAGTGAGTTTCTTTGATTCCTCAAAGTATTATTTCTTCCTGTTTCAAGAATGTGATGGGAATGTTTTGCTGTTCACATGGAGAACTTTACAGAAAGTTAAATGGAATCTAGTCTCCCCCCAAAGTCCTGGCAGAATGCCTACAATCCCTTCATTATTTTGTCTGAAAGGAGGCACTAAAGCAAAAGCTCAGTTGAAAATTTGAAAACCAATTCTATATTTACCTGGAAGCCAGTGGATAGATTTTAACACAGGAGTAATAGTGGCTATTTACCTGGTAACAGTTAGGTGTCTAGAAGTAGAATTCTGAACCAGATATGGACGAGACAGGAACTTTACCACATAATTAATTTGTTTATTAAATTTTAACTGACAGACAAAAATGATGCCTAGATTCCTGACATGGTTCTGAAGATGTAATGGTTACGTAGCTGCTCTGTGTTTACACAGATTATTATATTTTTCAGAGGGAGTCTAAATTGTCTAGTGGAAAGCACAGTACAGTACACAAGTACAGTACACAGTACAGAGACTTTTGGAGGTGGCAAAATAACCATTTCAGACTTCTGATTGAAAACAGACACAATGCAGCATTTTAATTTTTTATGTAAAAGCTCAGAAATTACATAACAAATGAGAGGTCATCTGGACTCAAGAGACTATAAATCAGCATAAAAATGAAATGAAACATTGTGCAGGAAATATGACCCAAATGAGCATGTATAAAGTGAATAAAATTTGCCCAAAAATGGATCCTTGCGGAACTCCACATTTGGCAGGAGCTGCAGAGAAAGAATTGTTTTTTAAAGTAATGGATAATGATTTATCTGATAAGTAGAAAGTGAACCATTGAAGGACTGTACCCTGAATCACAACCTCATTTCGAAGGCAATTTAAAAGTACAAGGTGGTCAGCTGTATTAAAAGCTGCACGGAGGTCTAACGGAATTAAAATGGCACATTTACCATCGTCGAAGGATGGGAGCAGATCATTGTAGATCTTATAATAATTCCTTTCTGCTTTAGTGCATATTCATGTCATAACTCATAATTTTTCGCTTCTCTCAGATCATTTTTTTTAGTCTCATGAAGAAGTCATTTTTATCTTGCTAAGAGTTACCAACATAATTTTAGCCTTTAGAGGAAGAATTCATTCAAATTCCAGTGTTTGCTTGACATTTTATTTTTCAGTTTATTTCTCCCTTCTGAGACTTTCCCCACCCACTCCTGTTTTAACCAATCTATCAACTCTCACTTTTTTTCCCACTATTATTCATTTCTTGTCGCTAAGTGTGCCCTTCATTATCTGAGCATTTGTCTTTCCGATTAAATTACAAACAGGCACAGTTTGAGTTGTTATTGCATTAAACAGAGATGCTGATTGCTGGTTTGATGTCACCCTGTTGACTATAACCTAATTTCATCAAGTGCTTGTCATCCACATTGAAAAATGGCCATTGTTAATGCCCTGGTGCATTTGTGGGTTGTGCCAGTGTTTAGGATTTAAAAAGATATGCAGTCAAACTTTATACCTTTTTTTATTTGCCCATATCTTTTTATGCCATGAGTACCCCTCAGGCTAAGAACAGATCCTTTTAAGTCTTGGTTATTCAAGTTCATTTCTGGGTTAGCTTCAGTTCCCTTTGCTTTTGGCTCTTAATGCATTTTTTACTCTCAGTGGGAAGAAACATAACCTGCGTCTCATTTCCTGCTCATCTGTTAATTCTAAAGAAGGTTTAAATATTGCTCTTGTAAATAAATTAGCTGCAAAAAGTCCAGTAAACTCAGACATAGGTTTTTACAGCTCAAAGCATGCACCTGGATGGCTGCTTGAAGCATGTTATGAATTCTACCATACCACTTTATTTATAAAGCACTTAAAAGAGCAACAAGGCCAACCAAAGTGCTGTACAGCAGAAACAAACAAGTAAAGCACACAGCAAAAAAATACATAGATCCAAATGGAAAAAGATAATAACTAAATGGCTAACATTCACACAGTTTCAAATGCCAGGGAATAAAAGTGGAATTTTAAGCGAGACTTAAAAACTGTGAGGGTGGGAGCCTGCCTGACGTGCAGTGGTAACTCATTTCACAGTCTTGGACCTGTAACAGAGAAGGCCCTGTCACCTCTGAGCTAAAGACGGGTTCCTGGAACCAATAGAAGCATCTGACCTGCTGACCTCAGATTGTGCTGCATATGGCTGCAGCAGATCAGCGAGATAAGAGGGGGCAGAACTGTTGAGAGATATAAAAACATACAGAAGTATTTTGAACTGAATTCCAAAGTGAACCGGAAGCCAGTGCAGGGAGGCCAAAACTGGTTTACTGTGCTCTCTTTGCCTGTACCAGTTAAAAATCAGGCTGCAGCATTTTGGACCGGTTGTAATCATGCAATGGAGGTCTGACTGATTCCAAACAGAAGCGCATTGCAGTAATGGAGCCTGGATGTTCTGAACAATTATGACGATATATTTGTTCTGTGCTTCAGACACACAAAGGGACTTGTGTCAGGTTGGTGCCCACAGCTTCAACATGAACAAAGTTCAACCGAACTGTCTTTATACACAAACAGGTGCATTCACACATTTAGATTAACACATTTATTTATACATCTGTTTCATGACTTGTGAAAAGCAATTCTACACATAAAAAAACAAATTCTCCTTCACACACAGTTCAAAAATGATTTCAACTTTAGTGCGTTTGGCTCAGAATTAATGATCACACTGAAACACGTCGACTCTCCAATGCACTGTGTACGGTTATCTGAGGAGGTGATTTCATTTGTCAGCTAGAAACACAAAGAGCGTAAAAGTCATTTTCTCCCTCAAACATTTGCTCAGCGGACAAGGCGAGACAGCAGAGCTGAAAGGCTTGCATATGGATGTGTATGTGTGTGTCCAAGCAGATATAAGGGATATCTGTGTGGAAGACTGTGAAGTATGCACCACTTGTACCTGTGGTCCAAACAAGCCATTAAAATACTGTAATTCCTTTCATTCTGGAAGAGTCAACAGCCCCTGCATAAATAGCCTACCCACTGTGTCAACATGTTACATTGCTCAAATCTCCCAGAAGACACCCAGGTCTGCTCGGATTCAGAAAGAATATATTTCCCTGGTTGGATCATGTGGGTGAACGGTAAACCGTAGACTTTGCTTACAAGACCTACAAGTAAACTGTATATCCCAGGTAGGTCATTTTGCTGAACATTACCCAGAATCCATTAAGCTGTTTGGTTTAATTCACCCCAGGCAAATTATAAACAAAAAGTCAGGATGTTGAACCTGAACTGGATTACCAGTTTAAATATAGATTTAGTTATCATTCTCAAACTCATTTTTTTTTTTTTAACAATTTAGATATCCGAGGTGATTTTTTTTTTCATAGTCTTGAGGGAAAAGATTTGTGCTCTTGTAAGCATTGTAAATGAGCCGTTTTAAATTTATATCTATATCAGCCACATCTACCAGACTCCATTATGACAGTTTAATCTGCGTGTGAATCTGGTTTACATAACAGCTTCTCATGCAGTTTAGAAAGCTTGGAACGCCACACTCCAGTTTTTTCTTTATTTTGTTGTTGTTGGGAAAGGTCCTGAAGTGGGAAATAAAGCCTCTCCAACTACAGAGTAGTCCAGTTGTTTTTTTATTTATATATTTGTAATTATCATGTCCTGGTTGAATGAGAATCTACAACAGTATAAATGGTAAATAGACTATTTATATAGCGCCTTTCTATCTTATGGAGACACTCAAAGTTCTTTACACTACAATCTGTGTCCTCATTTACCCATTCATACAGCACTCTACTAGATCTCTACAAAGCTAATTGAACAAATCATTCTAAAGAGACTAATCAGTGCTTTATCACATTCATACACTGATGGGACACACATCAGAGGCAACAAGGAGTTCACGGTCTTGCCCAGGGACACTTCGGCATGTGACTGCTGGTGGATTCGAACCCCCAACCCTTGCATTGGAGGACAACTGCTCTAACCAATAGATATAGATCAGCCATGTTTTGCCATCACAACAGATGACATCTTATTGCAGCGCTTTCCATTTGATATCTAAGCATTTGATTAATTTCCTCTGTCAGTGTAGGAGTTCTGGACCCAACATTTAAGATATTAGCTGTTTTTTTGTTGTTGTTTTGTTACCTTTTTCCTTTTAGCCATCCTATTTGTTAAAAAAACCAAAAAAAAAAACCAAACTAGTATGAGTTTTTATAACTGCTTATTGTTGTTGCTGTTGTCCATTGTTGTCATCTTTCTTTGTTGAAATCAGGTCTCTCTTGTAAATGAGTCCTCGAGGCTCAATGGGATTTACCTGTATAAATAAAGGTTGATTGATTGATTGAAGATAAAAGTAGTCCTGTCCCGTTTCCCAAATCACCAACAGGAGAAAGTGTCTCAAAAGGAACTGTGATTTATTTACACCGTGTGTCAGAGATCCCATGTTCATATCCTGGACAAGAACCTAATTTTAAACGCTACACCCCAAATTAAATAATTTCCTTAAAATAAAGTGCTATCTGTTTACATTGTACGCAATAAATTAACATAAGAAAACAACAATTTCAGAACGAACCCAAGACAAAACAAAACTGTTTTTTTAAAGATGTGTTACCTATATCCCTTGGGGAAGTAAACAAAGTTCACTCCTACGGCTTAGACGATTGTATACAAGCTTTTAGATTATTTATAAAATGTACAATACCCACAAGAAAAGGTTCATGAAAACCACAAGTTATTCAAACTAATTATGAGGACAGAGAAGCATGAATCACTTCCACCAGAATGCAGGACTCCCAGAACTTTAAAAACCACCAGGTGTTATGTTAGGAGCCAATCAGCCAACTTTTCAAAGATCTTTTCTAGAGAAAGAGGACACACTCCATTGTAGTTATGATACTTCTAATACTGTTGTGTTTAAAGTTAAACATTTTAACACTTTACCTCCGTTTGCTTGTCCATCTTTCTGCTGGGTGTTTGTGTTATGGACTGAATTTTTAACATAATTTGCAAAACTAGAATTCAATGGAAAAATGGGGTAAACTTTAAAAGGAGCTGCATTTTATTAGGTAAATTTCACGTAACAAACTTGACTGCTATGTTATAATTGTGCAATTTTACAAATCCAGAATGTTATAAGGAGTCTTCACATCAAAAATGTGGATAATTTTTAAAATACAAAAGGAAAAAAATAAAAAATGCAATGAAACCTGACCCTATTTCTTGCTTTGTTTCCTCAGTGAGTTTGTATCGTGGCTGTTAGAAAGTGGAGAGATCAGTAATGCTGACGAGGGAGTCAACCTGGGACAAGCCTTACTGGAAAATGGCATTATTCATCATGGTGAGACTAAATAAAATATTCTGTCATTTGCACTTTCCTACTCACTCACTAGCTTCCTCAGTTTGTCCTATTATGATCTTCTGTAGATTTGATCTAAATTATGTATCTTCTATCACCATGAATGCGTTTTCTTTTAAGGTTTTAATCAATTTATTGTCTTGTCATTGATTCATTCATGTTGTGTGTAAGTCCAACATGTATGATGGTAGAATCTGCCATGACCTAAAATCTTAGTCTGGTCATGATTGTTCTTAAAATGTGTTTTATTATTTCCACTTTCCTGATTTTTGGCTTTCAGGGTGACACTCATAGTTTCCCTTTCCTGAATTATGCATTAAGAAATGAAGACACACACGCACACCCTCCAAACACATGATTAATGCATGAATGCAGTTGTCCAGGATGTTTATACATGCTGCGCTCAGAAGTATTTGCTGAAACCCAGCGTTCACGTTCCCTAATACCTGTGGAGAATCCCTAGAGATTGTCTCAGACAGGAGCTTACAACCAGAGTGAAACGATAACGACATGGACGACTCTGTGGGATAGCAAGAAGACGTGAGCAAACTGGAGAGGTTCAGGCCTTGCAGGCAATATGAAGGCATCACAACTCGTCACTGGAAAAGAATGACTGGTTTTGTGTTGTAGCATAAATGAAAACAGCCCACGTCGGTGATCTTAGGGTACAGTTTGTCCACTTAGGTGTGCTTGTTCAAGTTACTTGGAACACATCTGTTCACACTTGAATGTTTGCACTTTTGGCATCCTGTTTCCTCCAATGATAATTCAGCAGTCATTTCACGTGTTAAAATCTTTCTTTTGACACTTCACAACAGATTTTGGAGTTGCGTTGCTTTGGTTTCATGGGTGCAGTTCAAGTCTAGACTTAGAACTGGCAGTGGGTCGGAGCTGATGCCAACTTGTTGTGGTGGAATCAAACAGCCTGTGTTTGGACATTTGAATTCAGTCAATGTTCTTGTCTATTATTTTACATTTGCTGAACTTGTTTTAGAAGTTAACTTGGAGACCTAAGGAGGAACTGTTGCTCCTTGTGTCCTGATGCATGCTCAATAATCCAGGTAGAAAAATCTAAAAAAGTTAAATCTGGTCCTCTGGACATTGTTTTGCTTTGTTTTGTTTTTTTGAATGTCCAGAGGACCAGATTTAACTTTTTTAGATGTTGCTCCTTGGTTCATCTACATGAAAAGTAGTAAATTGGGCTGCACAAAAAATAGCTTCCTTTAAAGACTTGTTGTAAATTCAATATAGTTATTAGTACAATAATCAGTGTAGTTTTGCTTTCTTTGGTTTATGGACAGATTTGTTGATGTGGTTGATTAGATTCACCATCCATTCTAGTGAAACTTTGGATCTGCATGTTTTTTCTTCTCTGACTGGCTTATTTCTTAAATTGTTGCCTTGTGCTTCTTAGTTTATTATCCTTTTACCCTGTTTTATGTTTTAAAACTGAATGCAATCAAATTCCAAGGCTTTAAACTGCAAACAATAAAAACCTGTCTCATTTAGGATTCTCCATTTTTTTTTAGCCTTGGCTTTGGATCTTGAGTTGTTTTGATCCATTTGTTTTTCTACTTTGAGAAATATTCCAAAAAAGGGCAGCTTTATTTATTTTAAATATTCTACTGTCAACAAGCATTATATATTTAAGGCTTGTAACATATTAGGGTGTCCCCCCACCCACCTCCAATATGTTACAAGCCTTAAATCACCTGTTGTAACTGAAGTGCTGCAGGGGTGACCTTTTCTTCTTCTGCTGATATTTCAGTGTCCGACAGGCACCAGTTCAAGAATGAGCAGGTGCTGTACCGCTTCCGCTATGATGATGGCACCTACAAGGCCCGCAGTGAGATGGAGGACATCATGTCCAAGGTAAATATAATTCTGTTCTTCTCGATTTTTCTTAATTGTCAACATAAGAAATACCAAAACTAAAGGGCAACACTGTTCTGTCTGAGGGGTAAATTATAGAGAATTGACAACTAGAAAGCCTTAAACTTTGCATATCTGCAAATGTTTGACCTCCAGTTGGGTCACACTCCTGAACCACTGGTCTACATTATGCATACACTAGTATTTAGCAGCTTTCAATTTTAAATGTTTATTTATTATGTGATTTTTAAAACGTTTTTTGTATTCATGCACATTGTCGGATACATTATTTTAATGCCTTTTCTAAGCGTAAGACATAAGGCTGTTAGGTTAGCCAACGTTTGGAGGTAATAAATTATGAAATTCACTTTTCTATCCTAAAATGATAGCCTCAGGGTAACTCTTTTCAAACTCCTAAGTTCTTGCTTTTGTTCATGACTGTACTTGTTTATCCAAGGTGTGCACGATTGATGACTCAGCAGTCATGTTTTCTTGTCTTTTCAGGGCGTCAGGCTTTACTGCCGCCTTCACAGCCTCCACACTCCCGTCATCAAGTGAGCACCTCCCCTTTCCTTTCTACTCCCGTTCCCTCGTATGCTAATGTGTCTGCCCTCCAGGTGCATTAATGCATATTCATGCAGGGTTTGCGTTCACCCTGCTTCAACCCTTTCTGTAATGACTGAACAAACTGTGCCTCCACCAGGAGTGACAGGAGCAGTTCTTTTAGTTTAACCTCCTGCAGATTTGTTCTTTTCAGTGCAGGTTGGATTTGTCAGGGTTTCATGACTTTTTATAAGAAAAAGCTCTTAGGGACGCACATATGGTGAGCATTCAGTTCTGGTTTAGTTAAACTTAGATTAATGAGTTATTCCAAGCCGTTTATTCAACTGAGATGCGGCAAAAAATACAATTTACTCTGCAGTTACTTCATTTTTCCTTTCGCTCTTCCTCTCTTCATGCTCATTAATTTCTTGCTTACACAAGTAGTAAAAAAAACATTCTTCACGTTATATATGAACGAACTGTATAAATGTAGCTCTCTGTTGTTCTACAAGTATTTGAGTTTATTTTTAACTGCATGAAGTTTGATGGATAAATTTGAAACGTACCGTATTTTCCGGCATATAAAATCACTCCGGTCTGTAAGTTGCATCAATAAAAAAGAGCATCACGAAGAGGAAAAAACATTTAAGTCACTTCAGCTTGCAAGTCACATTTATTATGCATCACCGCTAACCCGTCATGTTTATTATGCATTTATTTAATGGTCAAAACAGATTCATTTTGCCAGGGCAGCTTGGCTCCGTCCGTCCGTCCATCCATCCATCCATCCATCCATCCATCCATCCATCCATCCATTGCCGCTAGCTCTTCAGCGTTCCTCTACCTGTACCAGCAGAGTGAAACGAGTGTACAAGGGAGGACTCGCTGTTGCAGTTCGTTGAAATTTAAAGCGTCAGTCAAAAATTGCGTTATGAATACGGGGAAAAAAAAAAAACATAAATTGCTTCGGTGTATAAGTCGCAGGACTGACAAATCTATGCACAAACTGCAAATTATATGCTGGAAAATATGTTAAATGTTTTATTAGAGGTTAAATAATATTTACACCCAAGTGGAATCTATTATGGATTGTAATTCCTAAACTGAAAAAAAAAAAAAGATCGGGGGAAACTGAAGAGAATATTCCCACTTCACAAAGTTTTTTTTTTTTTACGACCCTCTAATTTTCTCTCTCTCTTCCTTCATCCCTCGCTCACTGATTGAAGAGCACAAGGTTGCCTTCAGAGCACACAAAGAGCTTTTGGTTCGAGGACAAATCTTATTACCACACAAAGGCGATCCCTCTGCCTCCCTGCCAGTTGTTATGTAACACTGTTTTCCTTTCTCAGTCTATTGCTATTAGCATTGTAGCAGCAAATAATTAAAAGGTTTAAGCGTGATATTGATTTCTCGATAACGGGATTAATCATTACCTCTGTCTCTGCTTTATTAAATTTGTAGTGTCAGAACCACTGTTAATTAAATCTGTTTTAGAGTACGTTGTTAAAAAAAAACTTCACATCAACTGATGGTTTTGTTTGTGTTATTTTTGTAGGATCGCTTTCTGTTCTGCAAATCTATCCAAATTAGTTTTAAGCCGATATCACATTTTATTTTAATGTTAAATGTGATAAATTACAATATAGATGTGACAGAATTAGCTTTTAGGTTTTTGCAGAATCTGCCTTTTGCTTGATAATGTTTTATACACCTGTAAAGTTGCACAAATAACAGACACATCCTCTGTACAGTGTGGCTGCTCTTGTAAAGTTGAAAAAGTTAGCAAAGTTATAAACGGGAGCAAAGCGTCCTTAAAAACTTAAGCCTGATAATTTTTTTAAATATACAGTAGTCCCTCGTTTATCACGGGGGATCCGTACCCTGAAGATCTGAGATAAGTGATAAACCGCGAAGTAGGAATGGTAGTACAAGTAGTATTATTTATGTTATTTATTTAAATTTATATATATATATATATATATATATATATATATAT